TTTTCTAATTTAATCAGTTCTAGTTATTCACGAACCTTTGTTAACACTACTGCTTGGTCACTTTGGGTTTAGAACTGCGTATGTGATGAACTGCATTTGGTGCTATAAATTTGAAATGCATTCTGTTTGTACTGTAAAAAAATTCACTGGTTGTTTGATTTTTGTTTAATAACAGAAATATGGCTAGTTCCTCTTCGTCGCAAGTTGAAAAATTCACAAATAGGGGTCCGATCGAGCCCAACCTTCTTTACCTTCAGGGTGATCATCGATCTGATGCCGTTTGGAACAGTGAGCTGAAATTCATGACTGAACACCATAAGTATCGCCGAACGGATAATCTTCTTTGGGAGCTGTACGCAATGACCAATGACACAGTGAAATGTTACGTGTCTCAAATGGGTTTTGGATACTTCCTCAAGACGGGTCTCATCCGATTAGACAACTCCCTTGTGACAGCCTTGGTTGAAAGATGGCGGCCCGAAACTCATACATTTCACTTCCCAATGGGGGAAAAAACAATTATGCTCGAAGATGTCGAAGTTCTTTTGGGACTGAGGATTGATGGAAAACCTGTAATTGGCCAAGATTCGCCACCAGCTAGTTGGGTCCCAATGTGCAAGGAGCTTTTGGGCTTCACACCCAAATTGAAAAAAAGGGCCAACCAACTTATAATCTCTTCACTGCAAGATGAGTGTAAGCGACAACTTCCAGTAGATGTCTCAGATGATGACTGCCAGAGAAGGGCTCGGGTTTTTGTTTTGTGGGCAAATTGGAGGTTCACTATTTCCGAACTCAACGGACAACACTGTGCCTTTGCTTTATTTGCCCTTACTGAAGGATTTTAGTCTTGTAGAAAGCTAAGTTGGGGGAGTGCATGTCTTGCTGTGTTGTATAATAATTTTTGTAAAGCATCAAAAAGGACAAAATGGGATATAGGTGGCTGCCTAATACTTTTGTAGGTATAACTTGATTTTGAATTGTATTTATTTTATATTTTCATTTTATTTATACTTTGTATTCCTTTGAACCTAACATCTATTAATTTACAGATTTGGGCATATGAGCGAATCCCAGGGATACGCCCCAGGAGGAAAAACCCGGAAGACGACGATAACACTTTGGCCTTAGGTTCAAAGTGGAGGTGCTCATTGGATTTTTCACAGGTGGCCTCCCACTGTCTCCCACCCCAACGAGATCAACTCGCGAGCCTTAGGAAGGCGGAAGATGTAAGCTAGATTTTTTTTATTTATTTATTCTGTCCTTTTATAGAATATTCTGTCCTTTTTAATTTTATTATATAAACTGATTTTTTTATTTATTTATTGCTAAAAGCTTATGTATTGCTATGTGTTGTTATTCTGTTTTTATTTTTTTTATTTTGTTTTTTTACTTAGTTTAGGTTTTGTTTAGGTTTCGTTTAGGTTCTGCTTTTAGGTTTTTAGGTTCTGTTTAGGTTCTATTTTATAATTTTATAGTGCATTCTGTCCTTTTTAATACATTGTAGTCCTTTTTAGGTTTCCTTTTAATACATTCTGTCCTTTGATTCCTTTTGTATTCTGTTGTGTTTGGCTTTTTTTTATATTTATTATGTTCTATTTTGTATTTCAGTTTATTTGGCAACCTTATGAAGGAGTGGAGATACCTGAAAGATGTACACTGGGCAACGGAATTTGACGATCAAACACTTGGTTAATTTGCTGGGAGATCGTTGAACCGCATCAAGTTGACCATGTGATGCGATAATTTGGCTTGAAACAGTCGATCCCACCACAATCAATGATTGTTGGGTTTGAAGTATGGGAAAAGTTGCACCGGCATGGTAGGATTGGAATGCCTAGGGCTAACTGGGAGCATCATCATCGTGAATACATCACAGAATGGGACAAAAGGGCGGACACCATTGTGGCTGGATCTTCGGTTAGTGGTCAATCCTCAACCGATGAAGATTATCTCCCGTGGTATGACACCAATACTATCAAATTTATCAAGGATCCCAATAAGTACAACTTTCAGGAGGAAGGGTATCGTGAGCATTCGGATCGTGCAAAATTCTATGTAAGTATTCTTCTTTTGGGTTTTGGTTCTTATTTTTTTTTTTTTTTGGTTTATATTCTGAATTTTCAGGATTTTTAGCCTGCGGGTTCTGTTTTTTAGTTTATATTCTGTTTTTTAGTTTATATTCTGAATTTTTATGCTTGCAATGGATGTTATGATGATGTTTCTGTTTTATTTATGATGATGTTTTTCTTATGACATGCATTGTGGTTCTGTTTTGAATATTTATGATGATGTTTTTGTTATGACATGCATTCTGGTTCTGTTTTGAATATAATGCATTAGGTTCTGTTTTTTTGAACTGCATTCTGGTTACTAAATGCAGCATGCTAGTTGCTTCCTTAGTTTCATGCATTTTGTATTTTTATTTTTTAATGGTTAAATTGATTCTAGGCTGATGCTTTGAGTGACGTCTGCACAAAGGTAGAAGAGTATTCTGCATCAAAAGAGAGAGGTGCCAAAATTCAGTTTGTATGGATCTCCTTCTTGAACTCGCTACTCATGCTATGAGTGCTTTATCCCTTGGAGCACATGAGTTGCCAATTTTGAAACCCACCCAATCGCTTGTTGATATTCCACCACAACCTTCTTAACCGGTTGGATAAGTTCGCAAGTGGAACATTCCTCACCGTGGGATTGGAGGAGGCAGGAAGAAAATCGTGGAAGAAGAAGAAGATGAAGAAGAAGAATATGATTTTCAACTCAATACCGATTTGTTTCAAACTCCAACCCCCCAAAATGAAGCCGAAGCCAACCAAGGAAGTGAACCTACAAGAATGGATGTGGATGTTACACCACCATTGAACCAAACTACTCTACCTTTGGCTTTAGGAAGGCCGCGTAGAAAGATAAAGAAAGTCGACCGCTACACGCCATCCACGGCCCAAGCCAAGCCACCCCTAGAGGAGGAATAATTCCTTTATTTTGATGTATACCTCTATTGATGAATGTTGGAACTTTTGTTGATGTTTTTTATTAAAATTTGTTACAATTATAATATTTTGTTCAATTGATGTGTGAGTTTAGGGTTTATGTTGATGCTGCTGTCTCGGTGTTGTTTGCAGGTTCTGTTTTATTTTCTGTTTCTGTCATTTTAACAGGATTGGCAAAGCAGGTCAGTTCTGTTTTTTTATGCCTACTGTCTGTAAAACGGAAATTCGACATCCGTTTTTATTTTTCTATTACTTTTAACCAAAAACGGAATTTGAGTTTCCGTTTTATATTTCCGAAAAATATTTACTTCAAAATTTCTTTTCCCATTTCCTTAAATCAAAATTTACTAAACCATAAACGGAAATATTTAATCCGTTTTTATTAATCAAAGTAATTATCAAATCCTATTCCTAAAGAAACGGAATTCTCAAATCCGTTTTATGAACAGTTCATAGGAAAACGGAAATTCCTTTTCCGGCACATGTTTTTTCTGACCACTCCCAAATTTGTGCTTATATCAGTCCACTACTTCTTTCCTGGACATATTTAAGTAAATGACACCAAACTTGTGTCACATGTGACTCACAACCCCACTATGAAGCTTTTTGTTCAAAAAATAAAATAAATAAATAAATAAAAATCAGTTCTTTGAATAAGGAAACACGTTCAAGAGCTAAGGACCAAAATACAATATCATCGAAAGTTTTTTCTAAAATAATTTTGTCTGCGCCCTCCGATCTTTATTATAATGCATTTGGATTTGTCCTATGCCTTTTCGATTGAAGAAAAAATTTTAAAAATGCATTTTTATATTTATTGTGTGCTCCTAAATTTTAGGAAATATTCTGCTAAAGTTTTTTCTTTGATTGAAAAAGCATGCTAGGTGAAACTTATGACAAATCAAAATACCTTATAATAAAGATTAAGGGGATTATCAAAATGCTTTATAATATTCAGAAATACAAACTTTTCTAATCTGATGAAAAGGCGGTTAGTCGGGTAAACATAACATATTAGAGTGAAAAACATAAAAGAAATTTGAACAAATGTTCGTGAATGTAAATTTTAGTAAAATAATTTATTACAAAAATTTATTTAATTTAATATTATTTATTAAAATTTACTTTATTATCTTATACTTGTTTTTTAGTTACAGTAAAATGATAAAAGATATGATAATTGGTTAGTAATAGGTAAGGGAAATAAAAAAATCCTATAAAAATATAAAATATAAAATATGCTATCCAATAAAATATTACTTTTCAAAAATATAAAATTATTACATTTTTTTTTATCCTATTCTCTCTCATTTTTATCACAAACAAACTAAAATATATCCTAAATATATTTACTTATTTATTTTCTTCCAATTACATTTTTATAATCTTATGCAGTAAGTAGTGAAGTGTTGGTTTTTGGTTTAGCATAGGTCCAACAGAAATAATGAGAAGAAAATAAATAAATAAATAAATATTCAATGTTAGTTTGTTGATGGTAAATATGAGAGAGAATAAGGTAAACAATGTAGGGCATTTTATCTTTTTGGATAGAAAGTTTTGATTTGAATAAATAAAAGTACGTAGAGTAAAATTGAAAAAGTGATGTGCTAAAATTAAAATTGGATTCAATTGAATTATTTTGCAAAAATATAGGGTTAAATTGATAAAAATTATAAAATTTTGAGAAAATTTTTTATTTATCTTTTCTCAAAAAATGATTATAAAAATCATATTTCGCCGGGACAGCGTCCGGATCCGGCCAAAAGAACTAATTCTGAAAGAATTTCACGTAAAAAATATTAAATACGAAAATTGAACCGAAAATTGTTTTGGGACTAAAAGCATCGTGCGCCCATAAATAAAAGGATAAAAAATTGACATTTTGAAAATTGGGGAAATTTAGCTGCTTTTATTATATTTATGATTGAGCCGCCCAGGCGAAACGAGAAATAGCTTGGAAAACCTCAGAATAAAACCTCCCTAACCCCTTCTCCTCATTCATAGTATCCGACCATGTCGTCGGCTGTTGGCTCTAAGAAGAAAGAGAAGAAGGAGGGGGAGGGCAAGGATGAGGTGGTGAGTCTCCGAGTAGTGAGAACGCTAGGTCAGCAGCTGCTTTCGTCTCGGTCGCACATTAACAACCTCCCTCGCCTCCTCGCTTTCGTCAAACCTACTTCTTCGCCGGACTACGCTCTCGAGTCTATACTCTCTCTCCACTCCTTCTTCACTCCACTCCTACCCCAACTTCCCCCGCCGGCGTCATCCGACAAGAAGAAGCCTCCGCCTCCTCGTGATGCCGACGCCGCCTCTGAATTCATCTACCTCACCTGGCTACGTTCCAATTTCGACCTCTTCGTTTCTCGTCTCTTCTCCATCGCCATCTCCTCCCAGTCCGACCCCACTTTGAGAGTAAGATTCATCATTCATTTGTTCTTTTGCTCTTGCTTTCGATTTGTTGGCAATTGTACCTTAACAGTAAAGATACGTTTGCTTTTGATTGTTTTACAATTACATCGTTCTGAATCATTATATATTTCAATTTCACAGTCACGTGTCCCGAGCCACCATGAATCTCAATTATCATGGCAATTTATTGAGACTTTTGATGCTAAATAAACCGTTAATTACCATTTAATCCTACAGAACAAGTAGCCCTTTCTTTTCTCTCTCTAATTTTCAAGTTATGTTTGTGGTTGTTTGGTTGGTTGATAGGAGGTTGCGTTAGACACCATTATGGAATTAGTGAAGGTGGGGAATGGCAGCTATTTCCACTCCTCTCTCTACCACAGATTGCTGCGTGTCATTGTAAGGCTTACTTTTTTTCTGTTTCTTTTTCTTTTTTTCCAAGTTACCTTTTCCAGATGCCGGAAGCCTAACTGAGGCCATTTGTTGCATTTGTTTCACAATACTAGGTTCACTCTACTCTGGGAGTTACTGATTTGCTGCTGAAGTTGCTTGTCTCCAACTATTTCAAGTATATTGATGTCTGGTAGGATGATTTGAGCATGTCCTCATACATACTGCATGTCGTAACTCTTTTACCTTTTGTCATTGTGATCAGATGTTTGGATTCTTATAATATTTTTTTTTGTATTTTTGGACTTTGGAACCTCACCATGAGTCTTTGCCGTATTCGTTGATCATCTCATTATTTCTCCAGTTATTTTACATATATCAGTCTGGAAAAGATGACACGAACTTTGGAGTCTGAAGACAAAGCAGGTACCCTTGGTCTTCCATTTGTATGATTTGTTTTTTAGTTTTGTCATTTTGGGGTAGTGGAGACTCACCCCTTGAGTTACCCTAGTTTCACCACCAACCCCTTTGGAAGAGAACCGGGAAGCCTTTTTCGTTAACTTCATTAGTCCAATTTTTCTTTCAGATAATAAATCAGCTACTTCAGAGGTTGACATAGGGAATAAGTCAAGAGCAAGGTAATTATGCATATTTTCTTAATGTAGTATCTTCTTGTATAATGATTTTTTTCCCCCTATAGTGACTGGTGTTGTTGCTGTCAAATTGATTTCCTCTCTCTGTATTTTGTACATACAACAACGAATTGTAAACCCAGTTCAACTAGTTTTGGTTATTTTCGCAGCATTACCCGAAGCCCTTTCTTACCATCATTAAGTGTATTAGAGTTTTTTTTTTTTTTTTTCCTTTTTCCATTGTAATAATTTCTCTCTTGAGTGGTCTGATTCCTCCATTCATTATTTTTCTTTTATTATTTTGGGCTTTTGGTAAATGTCGTTACTAGAAGAGTGTCTGGTCTTGAACTTAATTAGTGTTTGGTGCTTTTCTTCATCTGTAATTACTGTGACTTTAAAAAGATATTTGACTATAAGTACATAAAGCCTGTTGCTATTCCAGGTGTAACAAATATGTTCTTACTCCCAGAGTTGTTCAAATTCTAATTTTGGTCATGTTTGCTTTTTAGCATGGAGCTCTCTATTCGCAAGATATGCCATCTCCTTACAAACATCCAACAGTTAAATGGGTCGAATGAGACATCTGATTATGAGATGTGGAGTTCTGCAGGTTGTTTATTGCTTCTGAGTTTCACCCCCAAATTTGATGCGTTTTCTTTATATCGATAATTTTCTTTTGACTTTCCCTAGACAACTTCTTGGCATCTGCTGTTTTGTCCTTTCAAGTGAACTTTATAAGTTTATTCCATATTACCTGATAATTTTTAAATGATACGTCTGAACAAAGAATATGTCAAATTAACTTGACATTTAGCTTGGTTATAGTTATATTTGATTTATTTAGTTTCCAGTTTTGAGTGGGGAAAACTGGTCGCATGTGGAAGTTGACTTTGCTTTTGGGCACATTTTTGTTTGTCCTTCCTCGGAGATTTATTTGTTCTGTTGTAATTTGCATAAATCATCCAAGTTTGATGAGATAAGACGCTTGGTGATTTTCTCAGCTCAACCGAATGAATGATATTCCAATGTAGTCTTTATGGATTCATTAATATTTTCTTATGCCTAACTATCTTAGTTCACCTTGGGGACCTAATTCTTATTTTATCTTCTATCCTAGGTATTGGCGCTTTTGCTAGACGTCCCAATAAGAAGAATCAGTACGAGATTACAAAATCAGAAGACAAAACTCAGATATTTGGAATGCATGATGAAAAGGTTCGTACAAATGACATTTAGGAAACTTTCTCAGCCATTTGGCTGCTACTTCCTACTTTCTTTGCCTTTCTGGATCGATCTTATCCTCTTATGACCTCGGTTTTCTATTTATTATATCTTGTCAGGATGTCACAGCAACTGATGTCAAAAAAAGGATGAAACTTAAGTTCAGTAAAGCATGGTTATCATTTCTTACATTGACCCTTCCTGTAGATGTATACAAACAGGTAAAGCCTATTCGTGCAGTACAAAATGTGCATCTATCATATTCGTTCATTGAATGTATAGTTATCTTTGTTCACTAGAACTAGAATCGCTCCCAACTTCATGCCTACCCCCTCAACATCTACCTCTGTTATAAGGTGCTGAAATAGTTATATTCTCTTAGCTAGCTTCTTCCATATATAGTATGGTGATTTTTGAGATGTATTTTGTTCCCCTTCCTAATTTTTTAAGTTTTTAACACATTGTTATGTGGCTCAGGTTCTGGCTACTCTTCATGTAGCCGTAATTCCTCATCTATCTAACCCTGTTATGCTTAGGTAAATTTTAAACCTGTTTTGGCTATTTTGTGCTGTATACACTTATACTTCACTACCAGGAAGATACCTGTTATTTATTACCACTTCCATTGCAGTGATTTCTTGACACGATCCTATGATATTGGAGGAGTCATCAGTGTTATGGCACTGAGCAGCCTTTTTATCCTAATGACACAACACGGTCTTGAGTATCCGAATTTCTATGAGAAGCTGTATGCTTTATTGGAGCCCTCTATCTTTATGGTTAGATATCGAGCTAAATTTTTCCAGGTACATGTGAATTTTTAAGGTTTTGGCTGCATTTAGAAGTAAGGTTTTTGCTTCTCATTAAATTTCTTGCATTTGCAGCTTCTTGACTCGTGCCTAAAGTCACCACTTCTCCCTGCATATTTGGCTGCTTCTTTCTGTAAGAAACTGAGTAGACTTGCACTTTCTGTTCCACCGTCAGGGGCGCTAATCATTATTGCTTTAGTTCACAATCTTTTAAGGAGGCATGCTTCAATCAACTTCTTGGTGCATCAGGTTACTACAATCTAAATTTTTCCTGCAAAATATGTGGTTTCTTTCCACCTATCTTTTGTTCCGGAGGTAAATTTATGCATGCAATGCTTGGTGCAGCCGGTCAACAGCTCCTCTCCCCCTCTCTCATTGTTTAGTTCGGTCGTACTTTTAGGTTGTTTTCTTTGCAGTTGGAAGAGAGTAATACAAGTCCTATTTGGTGGCATTCTCAATCATATATTTCCAGTAAAAACAATATACTTATCATGTGCCAATTTCCTAAATGCTGCAGGAAGAGATCGTTGAGACTGCCAAGGAAAGTTCAGAAGCAAAAGAGAGTGGTGTCGATGGGACAGAAAACTCATGCGCTGGAAAGAAGCAAGGGGTTGATCTTTTTAATGGTGAAGAGGGTGACCCTATAAAGACTAATGCTATGAGTAAGTGTTGCATGTCACCGGTACATTTACCTACCCTCAGTTATACAATTTTACAAATTCTGTAAAGATGTGTTGCTTTGAGAATAATCGATGAAAAAGTACCAGGAAGATCAAAATGGCACCTTTAATTTTATAGAAAGAGACAAACCTGCTTTATAATTATCTCGCATAAGAATTGTATGTAAAAAAAATCTCGCGAAAAATTGTATTAAAAATTGTAAAATCTCGTGGCAAATTATGAGAATAATATAAAAAAAATCTCTCAACAAATTGCTTAAACAAATTGTAAAAAATCTCATGGTAAATTGTAGGAATTATAACACCTTTAATTGTATAAAAAACTCCCGTGTAAAAAAGGACGGAAAAATTGCATTGACAACTTTTCATTGCTTGTTGGATTTTGTTGCAAGGATTCTTAAATCATAATTTGTTGGGATGAGATACACATGACTACTAACGGCAATTCACTAGCACTCTAGCAGTTCCTGGAATCTCTTCCCCCCTTCAATTGATTTCCTTTACATTACAAATCCTTGTGAATCTGGAGAAGATATGTTGAAATCTCTGCTGGAAATCTATTTGAAAACTAACATGCTAATGGCAACAATTTGGCAGGAAGCTCTCTGTGGGAGATTGATACTCTCCGAAATCACTATTGCCCACCAATTTCAAGGTACATGTTTTAATAGTATGTTCTCGATCGTATCCATGAATGATTCTGATGTCAAAATTTGTTCTGTTTCTTTTTCAAAAGATTTGTATTGTCCCTGGAGAATGATTTAACGGCTAGAGCTAAAACAACCGAAGTTGCTGTTAAAGATTTCAGTTCTGGATCATATGCAACCATTTTTGGCGAGGAGGTATATTTATTTGTGATCCATCTTTAATGCCTCTGATGTGTGTGGGTCTTGGCAACACATTTCTGTTAGCCTGGCACATCATTGCTCAAGATAGTGAAGCTTATTCAGCATTACGGTGCTTAGATTTGGCTTTAAACTTGTGGTTGTAAAGTATCTTCACTCATTCTCTTTGCAGATGAGGCGAAGGGTAAAACAGGTCCCATTGGCATTCTATAAATCCACTCCAAGTGTTTTGTTCTCGGAATTAGATTTTCCTGGCTGGAGTTTTGTGTCCAATGACGGGGAGCCCGTTTCCATCGATAGTGATTTAGCTACATCTACCGAACCCATCCATTCTTTTCTGAAACGGCAACGTGTAGAATGAGTGTAAAGCAAGTTTTCCTCAGCAGAGAAGTTTCTTCTTAGCGTTCTGTGCTGATTCATTGCTGCCTCACTCAAGAGTCCAGTTGCCTTGTTAACTGAAAGCACAGATAAACTGCAATCGTGTGCGATGATTTGTTGGTGGAAGTGTCCTACGGATCAAGAGTCAGACACAATTCGAGTTTTCTTTTTCATGTTACTCTTCAGTTGTAGCTACCCATAAATATATCTTCTGTTTGGTTTGGACATTGGCAACCTCTTGTATGTGAAACGAGGTGTGCATGCAATATTAACCTAATTGAAATTTTTAAAGTATTTTTTAATTTATGTATTTATGACTGAAAAGCAGCGGTTAGTTAGCTTCTCTACCACACTTGGATTAGGATTTGTTTTAAATTGCATGTCATTATTTGTCTTGGTTAGTTTTGGAGTGGATGCATCACATGCATAAGATGAGCAACTTTCCCTTCTTTTTCTTTGTCCCTTTTATTTGAGAGAAAATAGAAGAACAACTGTTCAGGTATAATCTTTTGTCCTCCTAGCACACACATATATATTTATATTGCTCACCCAAAGACTGCAAGACATCAACCCTGTTCTTGAAAGACCAGTTCATAATCAGAGAAGAACAGAAACAGAGATGGCAGCAAATGTGGAGTTGAAAGGTAAAGTTTGCGTAACAGGAGCTTCTGGGTTTTTAGCATCTTGGTTGATCAAACGACTCTTGTTGTCTGGCTATCAAGTTATTGGAACCGTCAGAGACCCAGGTGAACTAAACTAAACTGGTTCATTTGAATTTTGGTCTCGATGGCCCAGAGTGTAGCTTAAATTCTTATGAGTTATTGTATCTTGTTTAAAACAGAGAATGGAAAGAAGGTAGAACATTTATGGAGGTTAGAGGGAGCAAAAGAGAGATTGAAGCTGGTAAAAGGAGACTTAATGGAGGAAAGCAGTTTTGATGAGGCAATTATGGGGTGTGAAGGTGTGTTCCATACTGCTTCCCCTGTTTTAGGAAGACCATCAACAAATCCGAAGGAGGAAATCTTGAAACCAGCAATTGATGGTACTCTGAACGTGCTACGGTCATGCAAGAAGAACCCAGCACTGAAGAGAGTAGTCCTGACATCGTCATCTTCAACTGTAAGGGCAAGAAGTGATTTGGATCCCAATGGTAATATTGTCCTGGACGAGTCTTCCTGGAGCTGTGAGATTCTCTGCGAGAGACTCAAGGTATGTGAGTATGTATATATCTTACTGGACATATCAGTAATCAAACCGTGTGTCATACCTTTGTACTTTTAGATGATAACGAGTTCTGGTTCTAACTAATGTCAGATGATATTGAACCAGTACTTCTGCAGTTAAATATCTATATACGTTTCGCTTGTATATAATTCCAATTCAATCCCTAGTTGCAGGCATCTCTATTTATACCCTTACATGTGGATGTTTGCACTCTGTTCTAGGGTTATATTAATTTTAACTATTTGCTGTTTGGTTGAAATTGTAATGGATGTTTGGCAATTGCAATTGGTTGCAAGAAGATATGGTATGTATTATCCAAGACTGAAGCTGAGAAAGCTGCATGGAAATTTTGTAATGAGAATCACATTGATCTAGTCGCGGTTCTCCCTTCTTTTGTGGTCGGTCCCAGTTTGCCTCCCGAGCTATGTTCCACTGCGGCTGATGTCCTTGGCTTGCTTAAAGGTACAATTTTGAAAAATCTAATCTTTCTCATCTTCTTCATGTCATCCGTGACGTTGAATGATCATTGAAGTATTTACAAATTTTGTTTTCGGCAGGCGAAACGGAGAAATTCGAATGGCATGGAAGAATGGGATATGTTCATATTGATGATGTTGCTGCGTGCCATATTCTTGTTTATGAGCACAAAGATGCCAGTGGACGATACCTTTGTTCTTCAAGTGTGGTTGATAACCATGAGCTTGCCTCTATTCTATCCCTTCGCTATCCCGCCCTCCCTATTCCCAAAAGGTACACACTCGATTTTGAGTAAATCACAAGAGTCTGACTATTTCATATGTATATTTTTTCAGATGAAATCAATCGGCTCCATGTTAAACATAACTTTTGGAAGAACGTTTTCTTATTTATTATTTTTGCTTTTGCCACCGAAAGTATCACGTTTTTTCAATTAAAAATGTCGGATGGCCGTAAATGTTCTAAAAGATCCAAATAATACAAATGCCTCTGAATACCATTCGAGCTTTTAAATACTCTACCTATGTATTTTTGAAAAGAAACACTCTGTTCACGACAATGAAAGACGAAATCACCCTACATATATATACATATATATATATATATATATTCTCAACCTTTGCAGTAAAAACGTGTTATAGTCCTGGACAATTCAAAGATTCATTTTATTGTCCACTTCAGATATTCATTTGAATTAAAAGTGAAAATTTAATTTGGAAAATAATTTTGAGATAGAAGAAATAATAAAGAGCGTAAATTTTCAGAGGATGTATGTTATTACTTTGATTTTCAATATAAGAGTTTTACTCGTAAATTCATAACAATAATATTCAATCATTATTACAATTTCTAACTTTCCTTACTAGATGAAATTGAAATGTTTGTAAGTTTAAAATTGAGAAACAAATTTAAATCGAACCCAACTCTGCAGTTGAATTAAGATTGAATTTTGCTACTTCACTTCTGAGGTCATCCTAATTGACGAGTTTGAACATGGAAAATCAGATTCAATTTATTTTCACTTTTTTCCGTCTCAAATAAATAATATATTTTAACAAAGGAAAATAATCACTAACAACTACTAGAATTGTGTGATTGTGATATATGAATTTCTTTACTTATCATTTCAGCCAAATTTCAAAATGCAGCTTGAATTCACACCGAAGTACACTTATTCTTTAAACAAGTGTCTAGGATGGTCTCTTTTGGTGCCTAGGATGTAGCTGATGTTGCGTTATAGATGAAAATAACAAGAAAGAGATGTTATTTCAGTTGTGAGACCCATGACAACGATTTGCTACCTCTATGTTGATGTTGTTACCTTTTCAGTAATTTAATTCATTCCTGAGCAAGGCAAACATAATTGTATTCAGTTGTTTCTGTTGTGTTCTTTATATAAAAAAAAAATTACAGGTTCAAGAAACTGGATGACAGACCATCTTATGACCTGGATACATCTAAGCTGAAGGGCTTAGGATTCAACGCCTTCAAGTCCATCCCAGAAATGTTCGATGATTGTATCAAATGTCTTGTTGACCAGGGCCACCTTTCTGTTAATTTACCATTCTGCTCTTGAGATTCTTAAAGCAGCAAATCTTAAACTTAAATTCCACAACAGCCGTTGAGTCAATGGTTCTTTTGTTGGGAAAGAATGAGTTACTTTACTTTTATTTTATAATGAATTAATTACAATAAACTGTTCTTGGAACTGAAAGTTTACATATACTGGCACAAAAAAAAAAAAAAATAATAATAATAATAAATACAACCCAAAGTTCAAAAGGTATAAGTATGGTTTTCATTGTTACTTGAAGGACAAAACAAATAGGGAGATCAAAGGCCAGTCTGAACCGTGTCATTTAATTCCTCAAACTTTTTGACAACAATGTTTGCAAAACAGTAAAGCCAAAACATCCCTCAGAATCTAAAGTGAAAGTTTCCAAAATTTGTCACCTACCGGTTTGCTGGCTTTTGGCGATGTTAATGGAGGCGCATCGTAAATAAGATTCCCATCTGGTAAAAAATGCAAGCGTCCGAGGTGTCAGTTCCCTCGTATGGAGAGAATTGCAAGTAAAACAAAACTGCACAAAACAGACATCCTCATTCCAAACACAAAGCATATTCTTCACCTCGATCAAGTTTTTTTTCTCCCTTCTACTACTCTGCCAATAAATGAGATTTTCTGGCTTAATTTAAAGCATTAACTTTCAAACAACAGATACTATCCCTTTTACTAGTCTACTTCTTTGAACTAACATGAATAAATGGCTCGAGATTAAAAAAAAGGAAAACAAAAAACAAAAAACCGAAGGAGTTATACTTGATTTTGGCTTCATGAAAATGAATTTTTTTAGTATATCCTTTGAGTTATATGGATAATAAATTTCGATAATTTGGTATTTCAATCAAATTATTTAAAGCTTTATTCATATTGATGAAATTGCTAGAAAAACATATATTTTGAATGGAATGGAGTACAATAAATTCTATTATAATACAAAGTGTTCAAAGTACAAGGAAACCACACACTAGGAAAATGGGGAGGGAGATTGAACCCAGTCTACTGGGCCAAGATTTATGTTGGTGGCCACTGAGCTAACCCTAGTAGTTTCATGAAAATGATTTAATTAGCCTAAGTAGAAAATGACTTTAATCTATGCGAATCAATTTCACCTCATTTTCATCTAACATGTCCGAGCTCTATAATTTTTTTAAAAAGCAAGCCCATTTGTCCTTGAATTAGTGAGTTCTGGAGCAAACTAAACTTTTAAATTTGCAACCTATAATTGTGACATAATTAATCATTGCTCATCTTTTTGTTAAGCATTGGACGTGAATACAATTTAGTTCTTGGAAATCAAATTTATTGAGCTTGGGGTTGGAATTTGAATGATTGTTGTTAATTTTAGTTTCTTAATATTAGGTCAAAACGATCAAATTTGTCCCATTTTCTTGTGTTTCTAGCATGTATTTCCCTTGTTTGTGTCAATGTTATATTTCCACACCATAAAGGTTAAAGTGAAGAATGTAGAACTTGATCTCCACATAAAATATCAGGTTTTGAGACTTTCTCTTCAAGGTCCTTCAACTTAAGCAAGCTAACTATAAAAGAACAAAGAAGAAATGCCTTTTACCTCTATTTATGACCAATTCCAAGCTGCTTGAGAGAATCAGGTCCAACAAGGAATACACGACTTGAAGATTGATGACGGAAAACAACTACTCCTTGATAAGATGCCCTTGGGATCCCATCCTTCCACTCTTCAAAAATGCCAAACTGACGAGCAATAAGCTCGAATTCCAATTGACTGTTATATTGAATCCGCACATCACCATCTATATTTCGTGCTTTTAGGGCAACATCAGTTCCTTGTACTGGTTTTGCATTTTTAACCATGGCAGCAAAATGCTTCACATAATGGTCCTACTAAGACGATGTCCGAATAAACAACAGAGATGTGAAAGACACAAATATTACAAGTAATATTCAACTTCATTCCAAGCCACAAAACATTACCTCCAATAGATAGCTCAAATCCATTGACTTCCAATTGACCTATGCCATAGAGAGAACGGCACACATTGATTACACATAAAGTTCAATAGCAGGTACAAATTTTTTTAATGGAAATGAAGCAACTTTAAACCTTGCATACCTGAACACTATTCAGCTTAATAGGTTCAAGGTATTGTTTGAAGAATTGTCCCAAACTAGAGCCCTGCAAATAATGAATAATGCTAAATAAGATGAAACATAAATTAAGAATGAATACAGATCTGGAGACGAATGAAAAACAAAAAAGTAATGCCAGAGAGCTCTAACACAATTACAATTCAATGTTGTAAGGCAATAATGCACGGTCCCAGTGAAACATCACAATCCAAATAGTCAGAGCGGAAACTCAAATCTTATCGTGACCATATTCATACTAGATGGGCAGAAATGAACAAAAGATCCGGAGGACACCATCATCATATGATTTCTAGTCTCTACTTAATGAATCCAATACATTTCAAAAAGGGAATCTCAAAAGTGACTTTGATTACATACATGCTCACCAAAATTATAGGTTCTACACACTTCTGGTCGAATAAACTGCCGGCCTTGGTGATTCTCCTTTAGTCTCAACCAATCATCCCAGTAAGTGAATGGTTTGTCAAGAAATCATAAAAGGAATTGCACAAGAATTAGAACAAAGAAAAATTAAAGCTAAAGCAACACAGTCTGTTACAAAGGATATGCTTTGGGCCACTTCGGAGACAACTCATCCCATGTAGACTTAGACAGCATCCATCCAAGACCTGGGAAAAAGTCTGAGCGGTACAGGGCATCTGAAAAGAGCATCATTTGAAAGGAGAGTCAGCGATTAGTTTTCTCATCTGCTCATTGTGATTGACTGTTGAGAATATTTAAATCAATTGACGTCGTGGTTTATGAACCGGGTGGCCTTCCAGTTAAAGATGTCTAACATTAGGAAGTGAAAAACTAACAAGGATCTTGCACAAACTGCTTTTGTCCATTGTCATTCCACGAAGATACAGCCATAATTGACCTGCAGGAGCATAACAAAAAGAAAAGGTATAGAGAAAGATGGTTTACTCATAAGATCATTTGTCCTTTTGACTTTTTTATTTATTTTTGTATAAAATTAGGAAAAAAACCCTTACTCGTCACGGTCAAGAAGAAGGGCACCCGCCTCAAAAAAATCAAAAAAATCAGGAGCAATCTCCATATCATCTGTGGTTAATGAATAGAACTCTTAGTAGAAGCAAGAGAAGGACACAGAAGTTAATCAGAAGAGAGATGTCACACCCTCAAGTATGATAACTCGGCTAAAATTGTGTTTGTTAAACAACTGATCCAATGCCCACTTGTAGTGACCTGCGCAAAAGGATTCATCAGTAAGAGATAGAAGTTTCAGTGGCACTAAATGAGATAGCAGATCAGCCTTACGTGCAATCTTATAGTATGCAACTAACTCTCCAGGTCTTTCCGTGTAAACAGGATCAAAATCAACATGCTGCCACAAAGATCAATCATAGCAACCAGTACCAAAGAAAATTTTTACAAATAGACAGCATTAATTAAGGAAATGAAGAAAATAACAGTTGCTGCATGCTGGCAATCTTGTAAACATAGTCTATATAACAATAACATTGCTCAAATTTTTGTTCCCAGAAAAAATGGCCGACAAAATTTTAAGGAATACCCACAATGATTGGTTCAAAACAAAAAACCTTAATGATAACCCTGTACTAGTACAAGCAGATTTATGGTAAATAGCAAGAATGTAGGTAACCTGCATATAAGTCAACTGATCATAGCTCAGAGCTTTGTGTTTAACCTTTGCATCTGAACCATCCTGATCAACAGAAAAAAGACTCAAATCTTTAAGACATCAACAGGATAATCTGTACCAGCAAGAAGGATATATGAACAGTACCTGGGATATAAACAGAGGAAATTTTGAAGCAATGGATTTCTGATATCTGGTTAAAGTATAAAACATGTGCACATTAGTTAACCACTTCGTATTAGTATGGTAGTAACACCATTCCAAAGCAAATGCTCAGAGCTGAACATAAACATACTTAAGTACAGAACTGATAGTCCTTTCCAGGTAATCAGCACGGTTACAGGCCATCACTACAACAGCAGCTACAGGTGTCTGCTCCATACAGTGAAGAAGATAATCACAATACTGAAAAATGCTGCATTCTTGAAACAACATCAGGGAAAATTAAAAGTGAAAAAAATGTTTCAATGTCCAGTGCAGACCTGCGCATTGCTGATTAATTTCTTCAGGCCCTTCCCTACAATGTGAGAAATTTGCACTTGTCAGTGTATTATGAAACTGTAAATGTTAATTTCACAGATTGATCTCAGAAATTTGAGAAATTAGCAACCTAGGACCTTCAATTACCAACTTAAAATGGAACTAAGGGTGGATCGAGATTTACTGTTTTCATTTGAAAATTGAAGATAGAAGAGTTTCATAAATTGCAAGTTGTGTAATTTCTCTATTTCTCGATAAGTATGAATTCGAATTCCCAACATTTTTAATACTTCTCAACAACAGTCCTGAAGTTATTCATATAGATAGGACTAAATTTCGATACAGGAATAAGCCAGGACCGTATTTCAACATTATAATCACATGCAATGAGGATACGTTGTTGGCTTCTTCTGAGCACAATCCGTAGCTGTTATTAGCAGACCTCTTAACGATTCAAAAGACTCAAAAAAAAGATTTAAAAAAACACAACACTCAGCAGGCAATACATACTCTCGAGATCTTGAACAAGTGATCTCAGTTGCCGGCATTCCTTGTCCTTGCGTGTCTTTTCTTCTGAAGTCATAATGCAACATTAGTTGGATAAAGCCAGATGATAGTTCAGTATTACTCAAGAATTGAAATGGGAACAGCAAAAGTGTTGATCTACAAAAATTTAGCAATGAAAATGAAGAAAGAAGTGCAGCTGCCATTATATTCAGCAGTAAGAGATCACAGCTTATAGACATTAAACATTTAATAAATGCTCCTAAATGTTTTCTCCCAAGTAGAGGAATAACAAAAATCAAGATTATGATCAAGAAAATCAAGATGACCTTCAAGGGACACAATCTTTCCCTGTTGCATGCTGATCTGATCAATAAGTAATCGTGTCTGGCTAGTGCAATGGTTTTCTGCTTCTACCTGTTTGCATGAACGAATCAATAAGACAGATTTCAGGAATACAGGCTTCAGTATAGTCAATGATGTGGCAACAAGAACGAGAGAAAAGCTTTTACCATACTTTTTGGAAGAAGATAAAATTATTTAAAGCTAGAAATGTAATAGTTTTGCATGCTTAATAATGCATCTTAACAATGTTTAGAAATTAATAGATCAAGAGATAACTGTTTGATTTCAAACTTTGAAGTGCGTAATTAGTTGCCAATCCTTGATTTATACAACAATGTAACACAGTTTAACCCATATTTAGTGGTTGTAAGAGGCATCTCCTAACACAAATATTCATATCTACTTAGGCTTCCAAGGAATCCTCGAAAAAATTGGGGTATATTCAACTCAACTGTTTCAGAATGCAGGCTTCAAAGTTATCAAACTAGTCATTCCACATGGGATAGAAAGATTGTTAAGATGTAGCATGTCAATTGCCAGACCACATTTTAAAAAAATAATAATAATACAAAAATAAAACCCGACACAAAAGAAGGGTAGGATGCAGGTCTACATATAGCTAATTCGTGATTAATCAATTATTCAATCCAAAATTTAACTAAAAAGACGAAAACCAGAGTGAAGGAGGAGGAGGTCAGCGGAGTTTCCGGCAGCAAATTTTACAACTGTTTAAATATTATTACTCCTTCGATTGAAATGTTAAAACAAGGAAAACGACCGTAAATCAGAGTGATGGAGGAAGAGGAGGAGGCATACATACAGCGGCAGCAAGGCGATCGGAGTACTCAGATTGGGTGACGAAGAGCCTCATCTGCAAGGAACGACATGCGAAAAGGTTCCAACAAAGTTCATGAAATTGCACGGAAAGAAGAATTGGGAGAAATGGAAGAATAATTACCTGGATGTATATAAAAGGGATGACGGCGAGGAGGAGGAGGTACCGGAGATCGCAGAAGGAGGAGGAACACTTCCTCATTTCGGTTTATCTCCTTTTCTTTTCTTTTCTTTTTTCTTTCTTTTCCTTTCTTTTGTTTTCTCTTTCAAGATTTGAATTTCATCGACGAATATTCACCAGAGTTTTCTTCATATCATATAGTCGCTGCTCCTGCTGACTAGTAGAGTACTTTTCCCAAAGAATAGAGTAGAAGTACTCCGTAGTAGTTTACATTCGCTAAAATAAAATTTACATTCAGCCCCATATATTTGGTCAGATATAAGAAAACTTTCCACTTTGTAGTTTGTAATAGCATGGTAAACCGCACATTGTGTGCCGATACCCAATATAATACACGCGCATTGAAGTAATTAAATACAATTAAATGACATAGAGTCAGAGAAAATACCAAAAAATTGTTCATTGTCTTTGTTTAGTACCAAAAGATTTTTTTACTACCATATGCCACCAGAAAATTGAAAAGTGTTTCTAATCGATTTTCTGTTAGAGTTCTGCCCAAAAAATAATGATCAATGCCTTTTTCACGTGAAAGGCACGTGTGTTGACCAAAGGATATATTTGACTTTTTATGAATAAAATAAAAATTAACAAATACATCAAATTAAATATTTTCTATTTTTTTAAAATTTGTCCTCCGCACCTCCCATACATAAATCTTCTCCGCCGCCACATCTAAAGCATAATTGTGCATCGCCGCCTCCACCAACCTCCATCAACACCACCTCCCCCTCCTCCATCGCCATCCCTCCTCCTCTCGTTGCCGCCCTTTCCCACTATTTTTTCGTCATTTAGAATCAGAATCAGACTGCAAGAACTCCACAACATCTTTAGACACAACCTCAACAGCTTCAGCTGAATCAGAAACCATTTCAGCCACCACAAAAAAGGCATAATACCTTAGGTAATTATTTCCTCTTTTTTACCACAAAGGGCGAGCTATAGACTCTGTAAGCACTATAACAGATAAAACCCAATCCACCCAATAACAGAAGCCAAATCCTCTGTTTCCTTGTGTAATCAAAACCCCCGAGCATAATACACCCGCATCAATTACCACAGATTCAATGATCTTTTTCTTCTTCTTTTTTTCAAATTTCATTCGCCCAAAAATTGGATACCCAGAGATTCTCCAATACATGTGTCTTCCAACTATCCCCAAACTACCATCCGGCCCATAATTCTTGTCGCCCTCTCTCATAAAAATCCAACAAATCTTTAATGAAATCAAGGGTCTATGTTAAATGGTAAAAGAGGATAATTTCTATTGATAGTGTCCAAAGAAGATTACACACTCTAATTCCATATATATAGAAATCCTATCCTAAAGAGACTATTCTAGAACCTTAAGCAAATACAAAGAGACTAAACAAAACAACGACATAGAGGCCCTGCTACTTGGAGACCAAAGAAAAAGAAAGCAGTAGCAGGGACAACAACAGCAAAGGGAATGCGTCAACAGTCCCATATCTGAATAACCTAAAATCAGCACCAATAGGGAACAAGAAAGAACAGTCTTGGACGGACAAATTCGAAACTTACAGGGGAAGAGATCTTGCCGGAAAATATAACGGTGTAATACCGAAATGGCAAAAGAGGTGGCGCGTAGATATTACGCACCGGTGAGACTGGCCGGATCGTAGAGAGCAAGATATCAAAAGGAAGAGGAAATCGAGACAATGACACTGACAGTTTCGGATAAATGATCGGATGCCTCGATTGGAGTAGATCTTAGATTAGAGATCCGTGTTAAACCCTTTTTTTAAAATATGAGATAATCAGATCCATGGACCACAGATCTGAAAAAGGAAATAAGAAACAGATATCGACTAGAAATAGTAATATCGCCCAGAAAATAGAAGAAGGAAAAGAAAAGAAGATCAATAGCCAGGATGAAAGGCCAGAGGGGAAAGATGAATCAACACTCTGTTAAACACCAAGGAAGAAAGAGTTGCATTGGCCATGAGGAACATCATATGGAGTTAGGCTGATGGTTAGGCTTAGAAGTGGAAGAGATAAGATGGTGGATTGGAGGAGGAATTTGATGGGAAGCAGGAGGTAAAGGGGGAGGGCCACGACGTTAATGGGGGAGGAAGAAGGTAGAAAGTTTAAAGAGAAAGAAAAAACTCATAATAATAAAATTAATGTTTTTAATAAAAAATACTGTATTTTAATTTTAAAATTTGAAATTTAAATTAGTTTAAATTTTTCGCAAAAGCTAACTCAAAGGGTGAAAAGACAATTATACCCTTTGGTCAACACACGTGTCTTTCACGTGAAAAAGGCGTTGACCGTTACTTTTTTGGCGGAACCTTAACAGAGTAAAAGGTGACACTATTTAACTTTTTAGTGGTGCGTGGTTTATTTTTAAACATTTGGTATCAAACAATGACAAGGAGCAACTTTTTGCTACTTTTGCTGTAATTAATTGAATTAAATATGACTAGAAACTTATTTACACTACATATATCTATAAATTTAATAATTGATAAATTAATAATATCTATAAATTAATAATTTTTCCCAGTTATAAGTTGGAATTAGTACAAAAAATAAAGTCAATCGCTAAAATAATAAGATAATAATTTTTTAGAAAGTTCCTACGTAATGTAGTGTTCGGATAACTCCTCAAAGCCCAAGCCCAAGCCCAAACTTATCTTGAAGTGGGTTGAAAGAGTTAGGGTTGAGCCCAATAGGATTTGTAATGTTTTAGTATAAATATGAGTGTTTGTGCTAAAATGTAGTGAGTGCGTGTGTGAGGCAACACATAGTTGAGTGTGTAGGTGGTAGAATTGAGTGTTGAGAGACTTGTGTGTGAGAGCAAAAACACACTTGTAAACTCTTCTACTTCTTACTCTAGTGGATGTGTTACCCGTTCCGTGGACGTAGGTCTTTGAGAGATCAGACCACGTAAGTTTGTTGTTCCTTTCTGTAGATTGTTTAGTTGTTTACTTTGATTCATTGCTTGTGTTATTGATAAGGGGTAAACAACTAGTACTTTTGTAGTGGGAGGGTTTATTTTTGCTATATGCATTAGGGGCCCATTATGTATTGTAGTAGCTAGCTCGTTTGTAGTATAGCCATTTGTTTCTGGGTTGTTGTATTCTGTCTTGAAAGCAGCTAGCTCGTTTTGTGGAAACAACTAGCTGGTTTTATAGTGTTACATTCTGTCCAGTAAACAGTTAGCTGGTTTTGGATTGTTGTTGGAAATAGCTAGCCAGACTGTAACAGCTTGCCTGTTCGTTGAAGTAGCTAGCTAGATTAGACTATAGCTAGCCAGTTAGTAGAAATAGCTAGCTAAATTAGGTTGTTGTTGTGATATTGCTAGTTATTAGTATATGTTTGTTGTGTACATGGCTTCCTGTTATTGCTGTTGATGTTGTTGTCGGTGTGCCCGCCCCCTCCCAACAATTGGTATCAGAGCTGAAGGTTCAACTTGGGACTGTTAGAGCTGTGAAGAGCTGCTGTTTGAAACCAGCAAGGAGGAAGGTTGTTTCTTGCAATTGTGATTGGTGGTTAAAGAGTCGGCAAGCTTCGTCACGTAAGTAAAATCCCGTAGTGACCTTAATCTCTTATTTCGACATTCTGAATTTGTTTTGGCATCCTTTGGTGTTGGTTTGGTGCTGTTTTTGGTCGACTTAAGTGTTAAGGGTTTGTAAAGTTGTTGAAGAATGATGGGTACAAAATTTGAGTATCCTATCTTTGACGAGAAGGCAGATTTTAAGTTTACTATGTTACAATGTACAATCAAAGATTTGCTCGTAAGGGATAATCTTGATTTGGCTCTTGAGGAAGATAAACCCGAAGGTGTGATTGAAAAAGTGGCAATAAATGCAAAAGTATACGGTTAGTAATATTCGACTTTCACTTACTCCTAATATTAAGCATGACATCATGAGAGAGACGACGGCAAGGGAATATGGGACAAGTTGCAGAGTATTTATGCGTCGAAGACGCTAAACAATCGGTTGTTGATGAAGATTGACCTCTATAGTTTAAAGCTGGAAGAAGGGGGAAGTGTTCATGATCATGTCAATGCATTTGGTCAGCTAGTGTACCGGCTTCACAACACGGGAGAAGAAGTCGATGATGAAGAGCAAGACTTGTTGTTGTTATCTTCTTTACCACCATCCTATCAACCATTGGTGCAGACCCTGCTTATTGGAAAGAGTACATTGAGTTATGATGAGGTGCTAACTCAATTGAGAGAGAATGAGAAGATGATGGGAAAGAAGAGTGTGCTTGATGAAGGTGAAACTCTAGCTGTTGCTAAGAGTTCAGCTCGAGGGAGGAGTCGTTCTAGAAGTGGAGGTGGCTCACGTAGTAGATCTCAGTCGAGAGACTACAGTAATGTAGAGTGCTATTACTGTGGGGAGAAAGGTCACATCCAGTATAACCCTACTATGAAAGAAGATTTGAAGAGTTTGAGGAAGATGAAAGGCAAAGGGAAGATTGATGTGGATAACGACTCAAGTACAAATTTGGTGTATGATGATGAACTATTGGTGATGAGGAGCACTCCTGGATATAGCTCACAGTTGGTATTGGACTGTGCATCCTTGATGCACATTTGTAAAGAAAAATCTTTTTTTTGATTCTTTGCAGGTTGATGAAGATTTGGCCCATGTCATTGTTGGCAATGGTGACAAGATGAAAATTGAAGGCGTTGTGTTGCACGCATCAAGACACACAATGGCAAGCTCAAAAGGCTAGCTAATGTGAAATATGTGCCTATTTGTTATGATAACATAATTTCTTTGGGAGAATTATGTTCTCGCGGTTACAAGTTTGTTGGTGAAGGAAACCATTGCAAAGTTTTCAAGGAGAGGAGTTGGTGTAGCAAGGTGTGAGAAATGATCATCACATCTTTCATGTTGGTGATTTGAAAAATGGGACTAGTTGTTCAATTTGCATTCACAAGGAGGAGCTCAAGTTGAAGAGGAAGAAGAGAGAGTTTTTTTTCAGACAAGGTTGAAGTACCTGGGACTTTGAGTCGAGGGAAAATATGTTGGAATAACTCCTTAAAGCCCAAGCCCAAGCCCAAACCTATCTTGAAGTGGGTTAAAAGAGTTAGTGTTGAGCCCAATAGAGTTTATAATGTTTTAGTATAAATATGAGTGTTTGTGCTAAAATATAATGTGTGTGTCTGAGGCAACACATAGTTGAATGTGTATGTGCTAGAATTGAGTGTTGAGAGACTTGTGTGTGAGATCAAGAACACACTTGTAAACTCTTTTACTTCTTACTTGAGTGGATCTGTTACCCGTTCTGTGGACGTAGATCTTTGAGAAATCGAACCACGTAAGTTTGTTATTCCTTTGTATAGATTGTTTAGTTGTTTACTTTGATTCATTGCTTGTATTGATGATAAGGGGTAAACAACTAGTATAGTGGGAGGGTTTATTTTTGCTATATGCATTTGGGACCTCATTATGTACTGTAGTAGCTAGCTCGTTTGTAGATATAGCCAGTTGTTTCTGGGTTGTTATATTCTGTCTTGAAAGCAGCTAGCTCGTTTTGTGGAAACAGCTAGCTGGTTTTGTAATGTTACATTCTGTCTGTCCAGTAAACAGCTAGCTGGTTTTGGACTGTTGTTGGAAATAGCTAGCCAGACTGTAACAGCTAGCCTGTTTGTCGAAGTAGCTAGCCAGATTAGAATATAGCTAGCTAGTTAGTAGAAGTAGCTGGTTAGATTGGGTTGTTGCTGTGATATTACTAGTTACTACAATATGTTTCTTGTGTACATGGCTTCCTGTTGTTGTTGATGCTGTTGTCGGTGTGCCCTCCCCCTCCCTACATGTAGCCCATGCCAATATTATAAATTAATCATGACTTGAAGTATAGAAAAAAAAATAGGAGCAGTAAAATATGAATAGAGTAGCGTATGTTTTTTCTTGAACTTTACATCTAAAGCTATTTCATCTTTGATTTTTTTCATTGCTTTTAAAAGTTATAGTGTAGATTTTCACATTACAACAAAAGATATGAAAAGTTATTGCCACATTATATGCTTCATTTCAAGTAATTGGTTTCAAAAATACTTTATCATCATTATTTCATACTAAGTCAGTTTAGTGACAATATCTATAATGTCTCCAAAGATCTGATTAACTAATTGTTAATTTATTAATACACCTATAAATTAATAATTCTTATGTTCTTAACAATATAAATTGAGAAAAATTATTTTATATACTCTAAGAATAGGGGGTCTCCAAATAATGTACTCTGAGAATTGGTGTTCCCCAATCATATAACTTATGTTTTAAGTACTTTTTCAAGGGCAAAATAGAAAACTAACATAATTTTGTCATAAACTACTACGTTTTTGCCCCCAAACTTCTGAAAAAAGGAAATTACATTATAAATTTTATTGATTTTACAAAAGTTTAACTTCCAATCAGGTTTCAGCAAATTACACATAGATTTTTGGTCAAAAATTTCTCATGGCTCCACTCGAGTGCGCCATTAGATCGGACATGCGACCCTTCGGCATGTGCAGACATCTTACCTGCTTGACATCGGCTTCCTTCTCACTGTCTATTTTTCGTTGCAACTACCTGCTTTCGCGTCCACGGTAGGAATCAAACCCGCATTCACGCCCTCAATCTATGATGAACAATATAACGCCCTTATCATCCAGACACGACTCGATTCCTAATATATTTATTCACTATTGTTGGATCACCTACGCCGTGTTGGTGGTAAAAATTGTTTTTAAAAAAGTCGAAAAATAATTTAAATTGTGAGTTAAAAAGTAGGATGCATAGTGTTATTTATTGCCTTGATTTTTGGTTTCATGATATACAATACATTATATTACGGGAGAATCGGCCATAAGACTGAACCTTGGGGTAAAATGTAATTAATCCATAACAATTGAAGGTCAAAAGTATACTATTTGAAATGTTTAACGACCAGATATGTCATTTACCCAAATTAAAGAACTACAACTCCATGGAGTAACTCGCTATTCGAGACCGGTCGTGTTCTCTTTTAGTCCTCTCTCTCTGCTGGGCGTGATAAAGTGGTTGGTGGCCTCTTTAAACGTTTGGGAGACTTGAATTTTGATTATTTTCAAGTTGGATTCTGGAGCTGCTCAAGAATTTGAAAACTTGGAATGTTGCGCAGCGACGTCGTTTTCTGAAGTGTTTTCGGTTTCTGGGGAGTTTTACCTGCCAATTTTGATTCTTAGGGCTTTGATTCGCAGTGAATACTGAACTGTCATGGCTGACTCCGGCGCTGCTCAAGATTCCAGCAACCTTAATCTAAAAGCTGAAGCTAGGGAAGAAGTAGTTGGGCCGGGTAATGATGATCAAACCGCCAGGGAAAATGGGAGTAATTCCACGACCACACCGCCGGCGGAGGCTGTCGTTCGAGAGGAAATAGAAGCTGAGCCGCAGGAAGTAGTGCCAGAGACGGGTGAGGGCGCCGTCAAAGAGCTAGCAGCAGGATGTAACAATGAAAAACTCACGGTTGACAAGGATGATGACAGATCTGTTGAAGCAGGAGGAGTCACAGAAGAGACTGTTCAACAACAGCAGGAGAATGAAACTGATAATAATGGGCTGAATACGCTGTCAGGACTGGAAACAAAGAATGAGGAGGCGGAGTTGGTTCAAAATACAGAACAAAGTGTACCACGGGAAGAGGAAGCGGACGTGATGAAAACCTCTAATAATATTACTGCTAATCTATCAACACTTGATTTGGTGGATGAAGGACCAGAAACTGAAGAGGAACAAGCAGCTTTTATGAAGGAGTTGGAGTTGTTCCACAAGTCCAAATTTTTGGAGTTTAAACCCCCTAAGTTCTACCAAGAGCCTTTGAATTGCCTCAAGTCAGTATGTTTAAGTTTACTTTATTACACTATAAACTGAACGGCTATTCCCTGTCTTATGGCTAGTTTTCGTCTGTTTGTTTGCTTGCTTGTTTCAACAGATTATGGAAAGCTGTAATCAAACTTGGTGGCTATGAACAGGTAGGTGTTCTAGCATTGTTATTTTCTAGTGTGTTATGGGCACGCTCATTTTGATTTTGGTAGAATTCCAATTGTAATCCACCCTACTCTTTAAATGAATTCTTGTTGGTTATGTTTTTAGCTCTTTTGATTCTCCTAAAACTACCGGCGTAGTATCAACAGATGGAAAAATACATGAGATAACCGGAGAACATGAATGTGATTGTGTGGCAGTAGGATGATGACTAGAAAAGTATAGAATCATTGATTATAAGATGGCTGGTAAAAAAAATAGAATCATTGACTCAAAATTAAGAGGGGACGAAAAGTCTAAGAATTTGAAAGAGAAATGTTAATATGAAGTAGCAAGAGAGTATGTGCTTTGACAGAGCATAATGGTAGCCAACCCCAGACACTGGGATACTGACCAAGTTGTTGTGCTACTCCTGAGCTCTTTTTCCAGGCCTACCTTGACTCCTACATATTTGGGAACAAGCTACACATAATTGATTTTAATGAGTTCTAGAAAACTTTATCAAATCTTTGATATATCTCAGCTGCGAAGGTTCTATCCAAGTACAATTTAATGTATTAAGTGGTGTCATCTCTTTTAAGCTTCTGATTATTGTCAGTTTGTTAACTCGTTTATGTCATTCGTGCTGTGTTTTTGCCGATTATTCAGGTCACTGCTTGCAAGCTGTGGCGTCAAGTTGGTGAATCTTTCAACCCTCCCAAGTATGAACCTCTATTCTATGTTGAAGTACATACATTATATGAAAAATGCTTTCTTTAATTTAAGTTCATTTTAGTTTGAGGGAGAAGGACCTGTTTCACATTTTATTCTTTTCATTTGTGTAGGACATGTACCACGGTTTCCTGGACATTCCGGGGTTTCTATGAGAAGGTAATGATCATGTTTCTGAACTATGCGTTTTTTGATGATTTCAAATGTAGGCATTTTTCCACCTTTCATGGGTTAAAATCCAGCATGGATCTTATTATTTATTGAAGGACTTCTGATTATTATTTTTTAATTTACCCATATCTTTGGTTTACTACTTCTAGATTGTATCTCCCTTGTCAATTTCCTTGCTGGTTGAAAAGAATAACTTACTCTGGTCTTATGTATGGCAATGTGTGTGAAGTCTCTCTGTTTTGCTTGAGGTTGCTAAAGTTTTATCCTGCAGGCGCTGTTAGAGTATGAAAAGCACAAAATGCGTAATGGTGAACTTCCTTTCAATGACGGTTCTTTCCTGGAGTCCTCTAGTGTCGGCAATCAGGTAGTTCGCACTTTCAAATTAGTTACACGCTTCCTATTGTTGATGTGTTTGTTTTTCCCCTAATATCGTTGTCAATGATTCATCTAAATGTTATGTTCATTGTCAGGCGGGTCTTGGTCAAGCATCAGGGTCAGGTCGAGCAAGAAGGGATGCTGCAGCTCGTGCCATGCAAGGTTGGCATACTCAGCGTCTTCTTGGCAATGGAGAGGTTGGAGATCCTATTATTAAGGTCTGTAATGTGTATGTAATTATATTCTAAAATACTCTCCTTTCTTATCATGCATCTGGTTCCATTTGTCTGACCTTTCCCTGGATATGTTACATACAGGATAAAACCTCTATATCTACACCTAAACGTGAAAAACAGCTGAAAAGCGTGGGTAGGGTCCCATACCAGAAACACTGGTCTTGTTTTCTTAAGTTATTATAGGCTCAATTTTATCTATGGAGTTTTAATGTCTTTCTTCTGTATTCATGATGAAGGTTTGCTAAAGCGTAAAAAGCTCTCTCCTGTTGATCATTCTCTAGAGGTTGCTCGCCAGAAAGCAGTAAAATTGCAGTAAGTATCGGGATCCATATTTTTATTATGTTACTATGAGGCTGAAGCATATATTTTAAGGTATATGTTGTTTCCTGCATCAGTCTGGTGTATGTTCACTTGTATGATGACTAGTTTTTGCTTATATGTTTTGAAAGCAACTGGGGATGGGGTTCGAAAATTTGTTTGTTGCATGTGAAGCTTTATCGTTGATTGTTCCCTATTTTGTAGTAATTAGGTTCTATAGAATACTACTACTTTTAGACATTATGTGATACTTTTTGTAGTTGAGGTTTACAGTTTGTTATTTTATTTATTTATTTATTCTTTTTTGGCGTTTATGAGTAGACTGGAAACTATGGTTGTCGATATTGGCACCCCAGCTGATTGGGTGAAGATCAATGTGCAGAAAACTGTAAGTTTCTGGTTCTTGACTGGATTGGCCTCTCTTCTTTTGCAATGACTCGTATCAGAACAGTAACTTTTTTTTCTTTTTTTTTATTTGAAATTAAAATTACAGAAAGACTGCTTTGAAGTGTATGCTTTAGTTCCTGGACTTTTGCGTGAGGAGGTACTGAAGAAAGATCTATTCTCGGGGTGCTGTGTTTTTCATTTTCTTTCCGCTGGTTTATTTTAGAATTTTAGTTCTTACTGCTTAAAATTAGGTACGCGTACAATCTGATCCTGCTGGGCGCTTGGTAATAACTGGTCAGCCGGAACAACTGGATAATCCTTGGGGTGTCACGCCATTTAAAAAGGTTGAATGTGTTTTTTACAAGCTTGTTGCTCAAATTATCCTACACCTCCTTTTCCAGCCTTAAATGTGACACCTAACATCATTGCAATTTGGATAACTGACAAAGAGCAATTTACACTTGTGCTTCTTTTTTGAGTTTGGGACAGCCGGGAGTGGGAGGTAGGTAGTGAGCTTGGATAACTGACAAGACGTCAGGCGGAACTTTTGTGTTTCATTTTATTGATTCTGGGTGATATGGTTGAAGCAGGTAGTGAGCTTACCAACTAGAATAGATCCTCATCAGACCTCTGCCGTGGTTACCTTACATGGACAATTGTTTGTGCGAGTACCCTTTGAGCAGTCAGAAGTTTAGAACGTGGATGGAGGAGGGGGAAAGTTGCTGAATGAATTGAGGTTGCTGAAGGAACACAAGTTTCAGCACATGTTCAGTTTAGATCTTCCTGTCTTAATTCCAGAAGTTGTATGTTTCCTTTTGTTGGTTGGTGGACCTCTTATGTACTCTTTTAATGTTGCCTTGATGGCTTGATTTGTACCATTTGTTGAAGCTGAGCATTCCACATATTTTAGTAACACCTGTCAAATGTTGAAATTAGCAGTTTTCTGTTTCTTTGCATATTAGGTTCCAAATAAAAAACACTGAAAGATATTAGGACCCAAATTTTAAAGGAACTTTTCAAAAAAAAAATTTGAAGGGAGAAACATGAAACATATATAATTTTTTTCAAAACAATGAAATCAGAAATTTCCTTAATGTGCAAAGTAATTGGCCACTACTAGCAAATGGGTGTACATGCTAACCCTAATAATTTTAATATTATTGAAGATCCAACAATTTAGTTTAGTAATGGTCCTATGAATGACTGAAAAATGTTGCTGAGAGCCTTCTGAACTTCACCTGAACTATGTTCACTCCGTACAAACTCTACCAGTACAGGGAACAATTGTGGGATATAATTCCTAAAGGAATCCTGTTCCAATCCACTCAATATTCTAAACACAGACAAGACTAGAGGAGTCCTTGCTGCCAACTCCTCTTTCTGGGCAGAACCCAAAGGAAGACTCCAGTGACAGAATGAAGCCGCTGACATTGTTGATGATACAGAATCGTTGCCAGCACACTCCAAATATACTCGCAGAATTTTCTCGCATACGGATACCAGTTGGGCTTCTTGTTTCTTTCCTCCGGAAATAGATGGATCACTAACCAGCAAATCACACAAAAAATTGAGGTAGTTCTGATAGGATTCATTTTCAAAGTGAAGGATAGGCGGATCTGGAACCTCAAGGATTGAGCACGTTCGCTCCACCTTCAGCTGTAGGACTCTGTTAGAGTGTAGTTCATGGGCATGATTCGCAGTAGAAGAAAAGAGTTGGAGAAGAATGGTAACTGCGTCAGCAGATAAAGATTGTGCATGCATCTTGTACAGGTCGGTTGCAACCTGGGGAGAGAGTATAGGAAACCTTATAGTTTAAATATGAACATAAGCGATGCTAAAGCAGGTACTTATGCTAATACTGCAGTAATTCAAGCAAAGTAAACAAATGGACATCGATAGGAAAACCTGTATCATCAGTAACTGTGCTGTTATATGGCTCTTCATCCTAGAAATGACATATCCAGCGGCTTGCAGATTGTCCTCATCGGAATCATCATTGGTCAAGCCATTTTGGCCAGATGAGGTTTTGAAGTCAGTATAGTTATTATTATGCGCCAGATCAGGGTCCAGCTTAGCGATGCTGTCCATGGTTCTCACAAGATTAAGGAATCCAGGGAGACTGGAAGCAGCTGCCCTTTCCAAAGCAAAGAATATATCTTGCCATTCCTCTTTCGTAAGTTTCCCTCCTACATCACTAGCCAATCGCTTCACGGCAGCTACACCAGACCTAGCTAGACCTTGGACAGGACTCAAGATAAATGCAGCCAAAATTGAGACCACATCCTGCAATTCCGATCTGAGGGCCACAAAGAAATTGACAAACAGGCCTACCAGAAAATCAACTGCCAGCACAGCAGTTTCCGAATCCCATAAGTTCGCATCAAGTTGTAGAAAGGATGGTTGACTATCACGTAAAGGACGCTGGTTTTCCTTATTTTGTTCCATTTTTTGCTTCTCATCATGTATGGAATTGAATATGGGAAGTATAACAGAACCAAAAATACTGTTCCAGAAAACATGCGAAAAAAGATTCCCGTGATCTTTCAGAATATTGAACAGAACTTCCAATGCACTTTTCCTGATAGCAAACCTCGGATCTGAAGTCATTTTAGATAAACCTGAAAAGTTATCAGTTCAACTGTCAAGAGAAGCTATAATATCATGCATTCCTAGGATAGATCAATTCAGCTATCTGTCATGTCTTGAAGGAAAGTTCAGCAGATTAGCTATATCTGATCAGGGCGATTCAAAAAGGAAAAAGGAATAAACAATTTCAAACACCAAGGTGAAAAATCTTTCGGGAAACCAAGAGAATGTTCTTCTCAAAGAATGTTGAACTAGGAAAATAACAAATTTTCAAGCAAGAAGTAAGGTCATTCCTGCCCATCAACAAAGGGCAATAGCAAATGTCAGTGCACAATCTTAATTCTCCCACCTCTATGTAGGGTTTTTTTTTTTTTAATAAAAAAAAGCAACTTTAATGACTGATTTCCTCTGAAATAGTAAGATGTTTTTGAATGGAGCCAAAAACTGCATCACCTTAACTCATGCTAGCGAAAGAAACAAAGACATGAAAAATGAAACAGGCCCGTCCTAATGTTTACAGCATATACCCGTTAGCAGTGGAAGCCAAAACGATGAGTTCTCAACTGAATCATGCCTTTCTGTCACTGATTCATATGATGCATCTTCTTTTTGCTCACAAACAAGTCCTCCCTCCGCTAGTTTCACAGCACAAAACCGGAGAAAAGCAATGGCATTTAGACTAACATCACTGTTAAACCTACTATTTGTGAAGGTGATGAGGCATTTTACACAATCAGTAAATGTCACAGTCTCAGTCTCAGTTATATATGAAAAGTATTCTCGCACTATCTTTTCCATGGTTTGGAAGGCCAACAGTACTATATTTTTCCTCTCATCAGCTGCAGCAGCAGTAAAAACCTGCAGATAAGACAAGTTTAAACATTAGAAGCATTTGGTCCCAACAAATTCATTCCTTCAGATTAACCTTGGGCTAACTGATAATGACTACAAATAAAATAAATAACTACTGGAACAAGAATTTCATTTTCTGGGAAAGCATATTACTAACCATAAAAACACTTTTCCAACCGGATTTCACGTTATTGACACGACTGAGAACCATCTGTGAAATACAACGAACTATCAACTCTCTGATTTCTCCAGAGTTACTCCTCTCCATGACAATAACAAAAGGTTTCAAAAATTCATTCTGGAAGTTATAATTTGCCAGCTCTTCTCGCTCCAAAAATTTCATTGATAGTTGCCGCAAGGAGTCCATGACAAAAATTGCAACAGAGAGATTCTCAGACAAACCAACTGATACAAAAAATTCTGAAAGGACAGTCCATATGCGTGACCAGACTAATCTAATCCGATTCATGTTGTAGTGCCTGAAAAAAGAACAGAAGAATGCTCAAACATTCCTTTATCACCAAAAAGAACCTACACATTATACAAATGATGCTTTCCATAAATTTTGTTAGGCAGTAGAATACGGGAGAATCTTACGCCACTTCGACAATTTTAGTAAGGCTGAATACACGAGGATCTGTAGGAGACTGTAACTCTGACATGGAAACTTTGCTCAGTGCTCTCACAAAGGCCACAATTGCCTCGCTGTTTAACCTTTGGCTATGAGCAAATATATGGTTCAACTCAAAACTCCCTACCTGATCAAGCAGATTTAGATTGGTTATGAAATTACTGATCTGTTCTGAGGTTACCAACCCAGATGACGATGAATTCATTCCAACACTGGTGCTGTCATATGAACCCCCACGAACAACTGCCACAACGGCAGGGTTTTGAAGGTTTCCCTTCTTCTTTACAGTTGCTCCCTTCAAGCTGGTTGTCTTTTCATCAGTTTCAACAGTGAAAAAGGAGGCATCAGAAGGTGCCCCTTCTCCTAACAGCTGCAAATGCTCAAAACGAGATAGGCAAGTTAAGATGTGCTCCCAAGCTTCATGAAGATAATTCCCATCCTCAATGGCAATAGTTATCATTGCCTTGACAGCATCAACATTTTTTTGCTTCATATCAGCTGCACAGTGAAGGTTGGTAAACTTAGCCACAGTGGTAACAAATGCATCTCTCTGGGTCTGCATACCCAACACAGCAGTCACATGAACAGCATGCCGGAAACCCAGTAAGCAAAGTGATGTCGCCTCCTTATCATCACTCTGGTCAACAGTCACACTGAATGCAGCGAGCATTGGGCCCCAGCATACTTCAACCATGAACCTTAGTATTGCTGGATCTGAAACAGCATGGTATACGGACCTGCAGATTGGATAACATTTTCAATGGAAGAATTTATATACTACATAGGTTATGCATACATATATACAATGTTTTTTCTTACTCTGATTTCCCCGATTTGGCTTTAAACTGTTCCTGAATGTGCCTTATGAGGTATCCATTTGCACTCACAGGCTTTTCTTCGTTCTGCTTCCAAACTAGATTCAGAATACTTTCCAATCCTTGTAATATATTAAGACCGTTTCCTTGCCTGTTCTGAGGCACAGAAGAATCTGCATTCATCTTTATCTCATTCTTTACAATTTGATCATAGAGGGCACCCAAATATTCTTCCTGCAAATCCTTGCCACCGTCGATTCCTCGATTATTTCGGATGAAATCAGCCTTAGTCATCTGACAACCAAAATCAAACACATAACAGAAGTTAGCATCAAGAATTAGTAAAAATTGTAAACCAAGGGCGACCATCTATTGTAAACTCACCTTGTCCTTAACCATACAGTTGTGGGCATCAGTGTTAAGCATGATGACAGAGTAAGCTAGAACGTAAGCTGTATCTGCACTGGTAAACGAATTTGAGTTGCATTTACAATAGCGCTCAGCAAATTTCTCCATGATGCGGTCAATCTTCTGAGCTTCACCAGGTAGACGAAATCCCCTTAAGAAAAATCTGATAGCCTCTCCAAAGTCCATACCTTCAAAATTGAAGGAATCCACATACGCATGCATAATTTTCAAGGGGAAATCTTCTCTTTCACCCAAATAATCACCAATCATGGTTTCATTCAGTCCAGAAGTATTCTTCAGAAACAATGCCACTGCCTCCGGAGAACTACCAACTTTTTTTGTGCTTATCAAGAACTCAATCCCCTTGGAAGGTTTCCTGTTGAACAGTGAAACACCTTTCTGCATAACGCACCGAATGTTCAGTAGCAGAAATTAAGCATCACCAACGCAGTTATCTATTGAACTTTCTTAGTTAAAAAAAAATTAGCTTACCTGAATCTCTAACTTATATGCTCGACGTTGCTCCACAGTTGCAGCATCAGAGTACTCAGAATTAACTTCAGAGTTAAGCTCAAGATCGGTAAAATTCACTTCTTCGCTAACCATCGTAGAACTCTCGCTAATATCATTCTCAGACAAAGGTGGATGCAGTTCTCCAGCTTTCATCTGTTGGTCCATCCATGATCCCATTGACTTGATTATTCTGACCAAGCATTTTACCGATTCAACACGAAAAGTAATGTCATGGACTGGAGACAAGGTTGTAGTCGAACCAGGTGGAGGACCTAGAGCAGTTTTCAGAAGGCCATTGACAGTCCTGCGAGTATCTGATGGAATTAAAATTGTTTAAACCAGGAGTACAAAAAACGAGAAACAACCAGAGAACAAACACAACAAGAACCTAAAAGGATCCATTCCAGTAATATGCGAAATAACGATGAAATTCAGCTAATTAATAGGACAATCGACCAAAGAAATACTGAAAGCAAATAACCAACAGCTACTAACACTCTAAAAGGGTTAAACATTAGTATACAATCCACATGCAGTAGGAATAAAAGCATAATGGAAAGAACTTCAAATATTATTGTTTATACCTTTCAAATATATTAGGGGCATCAACATCGCAATCATAGTTCACAAAAACATCAATAACAAGCTGTGAATCCTGAGAAATCCTGTCCAGCAAACTTAGGACAGTCATCTTTTGTAAGAAACTAGGTTGAAGAACATTCTCTAGCACCCGAAGAATAAGCATAGGAAAGAAAATTCCAATCTCCGCTTTCAAGCCGGATCTGAACTTTATTATTAAGCTCCCAAATATAGAGCAAAGAAGTTGAAATATTGTCATGACTGATAACCCACTGTTCTTCAACAGTGACAGGCACAGGTATTGCTTTATCGCATTAAGAAATCTGCAATCAAAAGGGCATATTTAGCTTGATTCCCCCAAAGATTAAGCAATGCAAATTATGAAAGCTAGAACCAGAAGCTCTAGACTGCAGCAACGGGCATGTGCTGGACTGAAGCAAAAGAAAAGACGACAACAGCAACTTTGCCTTAAACGGGTAGTATTTATGGAATACATAGTGTCATATGATACCATCATGCTCGGCCTCTTGAGGAAGATTTCAAAAAGGAGACCATTTTCATTGTGCTTTATATGAAGAAGAAGAAGACTAATCAAATTTGGAAATCAACCTGACTAAGCAAGAAAGTACCAGTACAAGGAAATCAAATCCAAACAATTTGAAATAGTATTATCATATTTAGAGGAAAGCAGCTGACTTGCCTGTCATTAGTGCGCCAAACAGGGCCGGCATTGTCCATAATGACCTTCAAAAGTTCCAAAGATAAAATTTTCCCTCTCAACAGAATTTGATCATCTTGATGTTCCTGTGAGGAGAACTTCATTGACAACTTACAAAGGTTCTTGTACACAACAAACCCGTCTTCTGCGATTTTAGAGTAAGAAGAACTCGAATCCGATTCCAATTGCTGCTCTGCGGACCCAGTCCCAGTGCCAGTCCACAGTTCCAGCTGGGGAGGTGTGGGAAGAACTACTTCTAATTTAGGAGCGTCGGTTACGGCGTCGTTGATGAAGTTCTGAACAAAATGAACGGAACTTCCCTCGTTCAAGTTCCGGTCTGTGAATTCCAACAGCTCTGCCACGGAGACTATCTTAAAGGAAGCATCTGCAAGCATGGAATTATGCTCAACCCTGGCGAACATGATAACCATCATCTGAGCTAGGACAGACTTGGCACAGATCTGATTGGTACCGTTGGATCCCCCAAGATATATATTATAGCATGACCTCACAACGTGGACCAGGCAATCACCTCTGATCAAAACGCAGGGAGATCGCACCGCGCCAAGCAGCAGCCGGAGCACGGCCAGCTCGACCGACTCGTCGCGAACAGACGCGCATTTGCAGGCCGAATCAATGAGGCGGAAGATGAGAGAAGAGGGGTAGGCGGGGTCGGCGTCGAGGTTGGGCCCGCGCTCGATCTCGCCACGGATGATGCCCAATGAGAAGAGCCTGTAAGCGCAGTCGAGGGCGGGCTCGACGACTTTAGGGGTACCGGAGTTGAGAGCCAAAATGAGCGGTTGGAGAAGGAAATCGGCATCCTGGGAGGAAGGTATGCCGTAGAGAGGGAGGCAGGTGGCGGGATCGGGGTTGTCGGCGATGGAATTGAGCTTGTCGATTGCGGATTTGGAGAGAGAAACCAAATGGGAGTGTTTTCTCCAAGTGGCGTTCTTGATGATCTTATCGAGGGATGGACCCAGCACCCGGCCGCATCTGGACGGGCCACCAAGGGTTTGAGACAGGAGCGGCGGTGGTGTTCCCGCTGTCGCAGTAGCCGAATTACTAGACGACGTCATCATCAGACGGAGCTGATGGTCATTTCTTTCAGTTGAAGAAGGATGAAATCGAATACTAATATAATTTGAGAGGAAATTACTGGACCGCAATAATGATGGGATGAATCCCGCCACCTACAATATTATTCTTCCTTTACACTCTTCAGTCCATCATCCCAAGAGGATACCACCACCGTGCGGCTGGCAGCACATGCTTATCAATGGCTCCTTTCCTCCTCCTTTTTATTGGTTATTATCATGGTAATAAATCCGCAGAAAGCATCAATTAGGAGGACTACTGCGATTCAGTCAAATTGGCAGTCGAGTTTGGTAGGTTTGCTTATTAAGTAATGAACAAATGAGTAATAGACGGTAAATATCAATTATCAAATAGACAAATACCCAAAGATATCCTTATTAGACTCATTTCAATTATATAGGCTTTATTTTTTTTCCCTAATAAAATTTCAAACGTACCCTTAAAACTAGCAAATAAAATATTATTGAAAGTGTTGGAAGTGCAACTTACTTGGGCCGATAACCATTCATGGGTCCGATAAATATTCTTTTATGGCTTATTGGGCCGGTTAAAAGCCCTAACAATGGCCCAAGCCCATCATTTAGAATATTCTTTTCATCTTATTTATATATACCCCATTTTTGGTGGTGAAGAGTAAGCTCTTCCTCCTACTCCATTCTTGGCTCACATTTTATACATTCACTCTTGACACTGACTTGCTTGTCGGAATGTTAACCCTTGTTTTGCAGGTCTCAAGTCCATAGATACCGTTGACCCTCGTCCTAACAGAATTCAGTCCGAGGATGCCCACATGTCCGAGGACGCCATTTCAGTCCGAGAACGCCCATATGTCCAAGGACGCCTCTATGTCCGAGGACGCTATTTCAGTCCGAGGACGCCTCCATGTCCGTGGACGCCCTTTCAGTCCGAGGACGCCCATATGTCCGAGGACGCCTCTATGTCTAAGGACGCCTCTATGTCCAAAGACACCATGACGCCCACATGTCTAAGGACGCCTCTATATCGGTAGACGCCCCCATGTCCGAGGACGCCTTTTCAGTCCGAGGACACCCACATGTCCAAGGACGCCTCTATGTCGGAAGACGCCAACATGTCCGAAAATACCATGATGTCCGAAAATACCTCTATGTCGGACACCCACATGTTCGAGGACGATATCTCAGTCCAAGGACGCCAACATGTCCGAGGACACCAACATGTCCGAAAATACCATCTCAGTCCGAGGACGCCATTTCAGTCCAATGACGCCTCTATATACGAAGACATCATCTCAATCCGAGGATGCCAACATGTCCGAAGACGCCATCTCAAACCGTGAACGCTATCTCAGTCCGAGGATGCCCACGTGACCGAGGACGAAGGCTACCAGTTTGAGGACGAAGGCGCCCAAAAAGTCAGCCAAACCCGTGGGACCTTCGTGGTCTACGGTACTCCTATGGTCCCCGTGACCTTGGAGTATTTTACAAGTCCGTCTCGACCCCCGTGGCTCCACGGCCTGCGAAATTCCTATGGTCTCGTGATTTTGGAGCATTTTACAAATTGACCCCAAAAGTTCAAAGAATTATCAAATCGACCCTAAAAATTCAAAGAATTATCAAATCGGCCCCAAAAGTTCAAAAAATTATCAAATCGACCATAAAGTTTGAAAACGAGACAATTAGACCCCTGACAAAGATTTTGGGGTCCATCTGGGAGCGTTACAAGCCAATTGCAAGGATCTCGTGCATCGTTTGGAGCTCTCCGAGGCTATAGCCCCTCGCCACAACCAAGATAAGTGTTCTTAACCACTTTATCACCATTCGAGGGTCAATTTTCTTAAATAATTTTATTTGGGGGGAAGAGTTGGATAGGTGGTTACACATATTTCCTCCTTGCTACTTGATTATAAATTCAATCAATGCTTAAAGTGACATAGCCAATATAAATACACCATTATGGCATGACATATAGAGAATAGAGTTATCATGGTTTATACACTCTTTGTGCTTTCAAATGTGGTTCGTACTTGACTATGTGCTATGCACCTAGTTACCCTCGGAAATATGAGGAAAAAGAAATAAAACTATTTAAGAAAATATATACTTGTTCTTGGGTAATATATCTATGATTGGTGGTTGGAAAAGGTGGGTTGTTTTTTGAAAATTGGTCCGAAAACGATCTACCCTTCACTTTGAAAAACCATTTTGAAAAGTTGATATAATATCCTTTCCAAAGTTTTGAGTTATTGAACGGGTGGCACGTCTTTTATCTTGAACACTCGCATTTTTGTTGTAAACAAAGATGTAATCCTTCTCTCGAAACTTTGTTAACAAGTGTACGGGGTTAGTATATAACATACTCTTAATTGCCTTTGTGTGTACTAAGAACAAAGGAATAACCCCTTTGGAAAATCTGGACGCCATGCAGGGCTTCACAAATCCGAGGACGTCCACATGTCCGAGAATGCCATCTCCGTCCGTGGATGCCGACATGTCCGAAGATGAAGGCTCATCAGTCCGAGGACAAAGGCCGTCTCGATCCCCGTGATTGACGGTACCGTGTGGCCTTCACGGCCTACGGCACTTCTACGGCCTCCGCGGTCTTGGAGCTTTTTTAAGCCCGTCTCGATCCTCGTGGTCGACGGCACTGTACGGCCTTCGCAGCCTACGGCATTCCTACGGCCTCCGCGGCCTACGGCATTCCTACGGCCTCTGCGGTCTGGGAGCTTTTATAAGCCCGTCTCGATCCCCGTGGTCGACGGCACTGTACGGCCTCCGCGGCCTACGGCATTCCTATGGCCTCCGTAGTCTGGGAGCTTTTATAAGCTCGTCTCGATCCCCGTGGTCGACGGCACTGTACGGCCTCTGCGACCTACGGCATTCCTACGGCCTCCGCGGTCTGAAAGCTTTTTAAGCCCGTCTCAATCCCCGTGGTCGACGGTACTGTACGACCTCCGCGGCCTACTGCATTCCTACGGCCTCCGCGGTCTTGGAGCTTTTATAAGCCCGTCTTGATCCCCGTGGTCGACGGCACTCTTATAGCCTCCATAGGCCTTGATGCGTTGGAACCTGTATTGCCTTCCAGAAGGCACGAGTTCAAGGCAGACGCTACTTGACAGCCTGGAGGTGCTAGAGAGTCAGTCAGACCCCTTCGACCTTCTGGGGATGAAGATTCGATCCCGCCACACTTATTCAGGTACATGACATCAGGTACATGACATCTTTCTAAGATCTTTTGTGAACGTACCATGTTTTCTTTTTATCTTGAAGATCTAGCATACATGTGAATTGTGCCAACTCAAATACTATAATGATATAACCCATTTAGCCCCAGCCACTGATATAACCCTTAGGGTTAGAAGCTCACGTGGCATTGATCAACCTTCGAGTTTCACACTCGTATGGGTTTGACTTGCCTTCGAGTTGAGCACTTACACGGTGTCGATTAGACTTGGAGTTATACGCTTCTACAGTTTAGATCCACCTTTGAGTCAACAGCCCCTTACGGCTTCGGCTATCTTTTGAGTTTTATGCCCAATAAGTTTTCGTTCGCTTGTGGGTTACTTACACCCGTAGTCTCAATCAGCCCTAGACTCGGCCTAACTTCGTCCGTGAAATCCTACTGCTTCCTTCCCAAACAGGGGGGGGAGGGCTCCTAAGGTTGACGATGTTATTTTTTATCGTAGCCTACCGGGACAACAAGCATCAAGGCTGGGGGGAGGGGCAAAGAAGTTTAAATAACACCTTTACTTCAAAATCCTCTCAAACTTTTATCCATTATCATCTCAAATACCATAACTTTTCATGTGCTCATGTTCATCCAACCGAATGGAAACACGACAAACGGCATAAGTCATACGGCTTCGACTGACCTTAGGGTTAAAAACTCACATAGCGTCGATCAACCTTTGAGCTCTATAATCATACGATCCTAACTCGGCTTCGAATTATACGCTCTTACAATTTTGACCACCCTGAGTTAACAACCCTCACGGCCTCAATCAAGCCTCCTTATCTCATACTCTCTCGACTCTTAATGAATCCTTCGGGTCGAATCATAAGCCCCGATGGTGCATTATTGACTTCACACAAATTTAACGATAGTCTTCGATGGTGCTATTCGGACAATACTTTGTTATGCTCCGTCGCCATCTTTCTTATCAAAACGTGACTTCTTCTCAAGAGTTTATATGTATATATATATATATATATATATATATTACTTGGTTTCAACAACCAATATCGCGCTAATCCTCCTCGCTTAGTCCATTATGACGCAGGTCAATGTGGGAGTCTGTTTATTGACTCGTCTAAAGTTTAGGATAAGACTCCTCCTGTTTACCTACGCTTGTGAATAATTTTTAACCTTCGACGATGAAAGGGGCAACCTGTTCGCCCCACCTTCTTCGAGTACGAATATACGCTGATTATTCGTCTCGACAACATTCCTCGACTTACTACAGGCCGCTGAGATTTATGTCTTCTCGACGACGCCCCTCGGTCCGTCCGATCGCTTACACACTTGTCCAAGGGTACTGGCATGAGGATTACACCTCTTTGCTTATAAGAGGCGTGACCTGCCTTGAGTGTTGTGAATAAAATAGCCTCCCAACTACGGGAATCGTCTCAATTTCAAGATGTTAAAGATGATTTATTGTTGTTGCAAGTGGAGTTGAGGGTTCAGGGTTCAGGGTTCAGGGTTCAGGGTTCCAGGGTTCAGGGTTCAGGGTTTAGGGTTCAGGGTTTAGGGTTCAGGGTTCAGGGTTTAGGGTTTAGGGTTCAGGGTTTAGGGTTCAGGGTTTTAGGGTTTTAGGGTTTTAGGGTTTTAGGGTTTAGGGTTTAGGGTTTAGGGTTCAGGGTTCTAGGGTTTAGGGTTTAGGGTTTAGGGTTTAGGGTTTAGGGTTTAGGGTTCAGGGTTCTAGGGTTTAGGGTTCAGGGTTTAGGGTTTAGGGTTTAGGGTTTAGGGTTTAGGGTTTAGGGTTTTAGGGTTTAGGGTTTAGGGTTTAGGGTTTAGGGTTTAGGGTTTAGGGTTTAGGGTTTAGGGTTTTAGGGTTCTAGGGTTTAGGGTTTAGGGTTTAGGGTTTAGGGTTTAGGGTTTTAGGGTTTAGGGTTTAGGGTTCAGGGTTTAGGGTTTAGGGTTTAGGGTTTAGGGTTTAGGGTTTAGGGTTTAGGGTTAGGGTTTAGGGTTTAGGGTTTAGGGTTTAGGGTTTAGGGTTTAGGGTTTAGGGTTTAGGGTTTAGGGTTTAGGGTTTAGGGTTTAGGGTTTAGGGTTTAGGGTTTAGGGTTTAGGGTTTAGGGTTTAGGGTTTAGGGTTTAGGGTTTAGGGTTTAGGGTTTAGGGTTTAGGGTTTAGGGTTTAGGGTTTAGGGTTTAGG